GGGTGGCGCTGGAACTAAATAGCACTGCTGTTTCCTTGGACCTACACACAGACATACGCACAGAAGGCGTGTCCGTGCATTCAAACCACGTGTATGATTTAATGAAAGAATTATGTTGAAAATAATTAACGAATTATCTGAGAACACTCAAAAAGGCACACATCACAGAACATCACAAATAAGCGCTCCAGAGAAACAAACAGGTACAAAGTCATTCATTTGATGATGCATTCAAAACACAGTCTTTCAGACCTTGCCCACATGGGAACAATTTATTTTCCAAAATAATTAAAAAAATTTTTAAACATTGTGAAAACGGCACTGTTTCTAGAAAGGTTTTCGTCTGCACAGAAACTGACTCGAAAAGCTGCGTTAACTTGACCAGGCTTCTGTGTGGTTTTATGTAACACTACTTTGAAAATACACCAGAAGCAGAAAAGGTGGTGTGGAGCAGATGAGTAAAGTTTCTATGCCTGAGTGAAGGTAACTGAAAACATGTCACTGTAAACTCTTAACACAAATATGTGTTTTAAAACTATACCTATTTCCCACATCTTTTAAATACACTTAATTGTACACTCAACAGCCGTTTTTTTTAAGGTCTACTTTGCTATTACCAGGTAGGACCACCTCTGCCTTCACAACTGACTTTTTTGTGTAGCACAGATTCAACAAGGTGTTGAAAACAATCTTTAGAAATTCTGGTTCATAATGAGATATTAGCAGATTTATTAGGTGAGCATTAATTTTTTTATTCACACATCTTGGTGAGTCTGTGGGAACTACAGCTTCAGTTTCCTGTTCTTAGCCGACAGGAGTGGCACCAGGTCTGGTCTTTTGCTGATGGAGCCTGGATGTTTTGAGGTTGGAAGTGTTTCTGTGTTCAGAGATGGTTTTCTGCAGACTTGGTTGGAGTGGATGGTTTTTGAGCTACTGTAGGATTTTAATAATCTCCAACCAGTCTGCCCATTCCCCTCTGACTTCTGACATTAACAAGACTTTTTTTGTTTTTATATATTTTTTGGAATATTCTATTTAAATTCTATAGATGGTTGTGTTTAAAAATCACGACAGATCAGCAATTTTTAAAACACTCAGATTGGACCATCTTACAACGCACCACATTCAAAATTAATTAAACCACTTTTCTTTCCATTTCGATGCTTGGTTTAATCTTCAGTCATCTTCACTACATCTACAAACCTAAATGCAATGTTTTGTTGCCATATGATTGGCTGATTAGCTGTTTGTGTTAACAAGCAATCAAACAGGTTTACCTATTAAAAATGGCCAGTGAGTGTATATTGCGTCTTTGCAATGTGTGTGTTTTTTCTTTAAAATTGACATTTCAGCAAAGTGATAAAAAAAAACTTTTTGGCCTTGCTGTAATTTGATGTAGTCTTTTTTACTCTGCTCCATTTAAGGCTGTCATTGTTCAGTAATCCTGTCTGGTTATTGATTGTGACGAAGGTTTGACTGTAGTTATGGAACCAGGATCTTCACCAAAGACACAAGTTTGTAATCTGTTGTCGTTAAGTCAATCACTCTTAGGGTCACCGGTTAAGTTATAGGAGGTCCACAACATCCTAGTTTACAAAAAATTAAGTTTAATTGTCAAAATATTAACGATAGATTGGCGTTTCAAGATTTTCTTTCTCCCCTACACTAGAACCCATCATCTAAAAATGTTAGGAGCTCCTGAAACACCATTTCTATATGGATGCAAATCTGAAATAATAGACTTTATAAGTATCCACATAAACCATTGTGTGGTGGATGGTGTCTCAGAAGAAGGCAATATTCCAAACAGTGAGCAGCAGCAGAGTCCTTCAGTGAGAGGACTCCTGTAAGTTCAACAACAACACAATCTTTTCAAGGCGTGATAGTAAGCAAAGTGAAGCAACTCTACAAAATCTTTAGACCACTCCCCCTGTGTTGTTGCTGAGTAACAAAATTAACCCTGTTTTATTTTTTTTTATAAAAAGACAAATAGCCTTTTTTACATTAACCTGACTTTGTAAGGAGCTGACCCAGAAATAGTTGCAGCACTTAGTTTCCCATGAAACTACTTCATGGTTTTAACTCTGCTCCCAGAAGTCACAAATACTGTCTAAACTGGTGCAAAACCAGGCATTTGCATTCACCTATGTATAAACCATCTATGGGCTTCAGGAGAAGGGGATTATGGAATGAATAGCAAACAACGTGCAGTTTATGTTCATTTAATGTACAAGTTGCAGTTTCTGATGCAGAAAAGGTCACAAGGCATAAACATGTGAGTCCTCCACTCTCGTCTTGGTGCATTTTTGGAATCTAGACCTTCTTTTTATGTGCTTGCATGATTTTTGGCTCACTCAGAAATGTAGGCTCCCTTTTTCCTGTCTTGACGCTAAATGAACCTAATCAGCTGCTGGTTGTGTTTCATTTCTTCTTTACAGAGTGTCAGATTTTGTGGCATGTAAAGGTGTTCATTTTCCAAAACGTCAAACTACAGTATTGAGTTTAACAAAAAGACCAGGAGAAGCATGTAGACTGCGGCACATACGTGAATAAGTAATGAAATCCATTTGACTCAACCACATGAGGTAGTGTCTCACTGGGCTCCAACCAGGTGGTACAAACCACGTTAGGGAGTCTCCAAAGCATTTCAAACTGTTCATGGGGGTTGTCAATGTCCTTGAGGGGAGTAGCACAGACACATAGTTATTAGGGCTGTGTATTGGCAAGAATTTGGCGATACGATACATATCATGACAGAGGGGTCACGATACGATATATCCCGATATATTGCGATACTGTAAACAAGGCGATATATTGTGATTTTTTTTGTCCAAAAACGTTGTTAAATAAAAACCTCTTACTGGGGAAATAATGAAAAACCAAAATTCATTGTCTCAGAAAATTCTATTATTACAGAGACATACTTTTGATACATTTAGCTGTGTTTCTGCTTTGTATGGGTTTTATTTTATTTGTTTCATATTTCTTATTTCATCCATGTTTTCAATTATCAGACTAAATTTGCCAATAAATAGGTTGAAAGTATATTTTTTGCAGCTTTTAGTTTTTAATATTAATTTACAATACGGTCACCCAACACTTAATAATAGCCTCTACCTGAAGAGGTAGAGTAGTAGCCAAATGACTGGCTCACTGCTGCCAACTAGCCGTTTATTTTTATGTTGTAGTTCAGCCTCTGAGCACTAGTTGGCAGCAGTGAGCCAGCTGGCTCACTGCTGCCAACTAGTGGTCAGAGGCTGAACTACAACATAAAAATAAACAGCTGGCAGGAAAGTTGACATTTTAAACCTTAATAAAAAATCGATACAGGGCTTTAAAATATCGATACAGTATCGGGAAATGAAATATCGCGATATTTCAGTGTATCGCTATTTTCTTACACCCCTAATAGTTATGTTGCTTAAATTTTGAACATTTTCAAATATTTTGTGCAACTTTTTTCTCAAAATAATACCGTAGTTGGTGTAGATGCAGGGCGGTCTTTTACAAAAATATACCCAGGTCTAAAAAACGCTGATGATAAAAATTAAAAACTGGTCCACAGCCACACATCTCACTGAGCTGCACTTAGGATTCAGAGAACCTCCCAACTCCCAATATTACTATTTTTGCAGAACTTTCTTCTTAAGTTTGGTTCACCACCTAGTCGCTTCAGTCCCGGCCCAGTGAGAAACTACCTTTAGAGAGCAACACTTCAAAAATTAGGAGACGTGGGATTACTTCTTCAAATAGGGAATCTTAAAAATGATGCACACATGGTGCTCAAAACAAGCATTGGTACACAAAAGGCATTTGTTTTTAAAAGTAAGGAATGGAAGTAATATGTACTTCAATTTTTTTTTAGAAAAACTTTTTTGGCACACTTGTTTGTCACCGGTGATGCCTACAACTAAAATACATAAACACTCCCTTGAAATCTTAAAATATTGTGACTCTGACACAGAAAAGCAGGCTGTCATGGTAACTCCTCCCTAAAGCACAGATTAGATTATTCATAAAGCATACATAAGGCTTGAGTGAAACTGTTACAACGGTGAATAAAAGAGCTGCATTAATGATATTTCAGCTTGAGCTGAAGCATAATTAACAAACTGAATTCTTCTGAAAGGATAGAAATCTGTAAACGAGCAGACAAAATTCTTGCACGAGTTGGATTTGAGTGTCTTTCAGCTAATTCCACATTCAAAAAGAAAAAAAATTCTAATCAGAAGCCAGAGCATTAAAAATCTAAAGTAATATGTGACCCCATCACATCAAAATGAGGATTTAAGTCAAATTTGGTCAAAATGACTAAATCATATTTTCAGATTCCTGCTTTAAAAGCTACATTTTGATACTTAGATCATCCTGATATTAGTAGATCCAGAGATATTATTTAATTTGTCTTGTTGGTTACAATAATACATAAATATTTGGTCTAAAACCTAATTTTATGTCATTTTAATGAGAATTTTTTTATTTAATTTGAAAAAAGAAACCTCAAATAATTGAATATTGAGATTTCCCAGCTGGAAAGAAACAAAAGCGTTGACAGCTCACAGGGAAAATCTCAATATTTTAAGGCGTTTTTTTCCTCAAAATCGGGTTTTTGGTTGCTAATGCTCAAAAAAGTGCTTCAAACAAGTTGTTTTGGATAATATTTCAGACAGTTCATTGAAATGATATATAACACATTTCTTTGTTATATATTTGACAAAATGTATTTTTTGCAAGCGTGTTAATCAAAACACTATAACTGCCTTTTTCTCCACATACAACTTTTAGACTTAATCCTCATTTCGATGTGATGAGTCACATATTATTCTGAATAAAGGCATTATTGGCTTAACATTTTCCCTACGTTTGTCCATAATCCATCTTCTACAGAACTGAAGCATTATAAACTTCCTGGTTAATAACTTAACTGTTTACTAACTGTAGATAATAATAATAATAATAATAAAAAATCCCCTGTGGATTTTGCACAGGTAACTCTTCATATCTACTGTCATTCTGTTACTCTGGTTAATAGAAGAAAAACAAATACAAATACATAGAAAAATAAGAAGTGAGTGAACATGAGTCAGGTTGTTTTCCCTCTGAGGAGTGCGTTTGCTGTTAGCAGCCCTTGCTGGATTGGATGGACAGAAGTTGTAGTTTAGCAGATTAGGCTTTTCAGCAGCTCCTTGGATGATCACAGTGGTACAGAATTAAACTTGAGGGAAATTGTTTATGCAGATAAAGTGAAAAAAATAAGATGTTGACCCTGGTGTGTGGTCTCCCTCAGGTTTTAGCTTGTTTTTGTTGTGTACTCCCCTTTCCACATCATCACAGACAAGCCTCAGGCGTCAAGGTGTGGCTGGCGAAGGACTGACAGGTAATAAGATCCTGAAAAGGATAGAAACAGTTAGCATACCTGTGAATTAGAGATTTGTAGATTTACTTGTGGTAACGAAATTTCCAAATATTTAAATTTATGCACGGGATACCTGTAAGGTCTACCTTTAGCTCATTGTGATAGTTTGTATAAATTCATGACAGAAAGCAAATTCAATATCTGCTGTACATTGGGCAATACAGATGAAACATCTAAGCAGAGAGAAGTCCTGTCACATTCAACAACAAAAAAGTGTTAAAACTTAATTGTCTCCAAAAACTGTCAAAATTTGATATCAATTATTTTCAAATACTCATTGATTTAAAACTTGTATTTAGTGTTTTCAATGGGATGCATCTTCACCATTAAACTATTTTGTCCAGACTGTCCTGATGCATAGTTTTTGTCCAGAAGTGTAAAACCAGAATAAACACCAGGGGCCTCATGCATAAAGGATTGCGCAGCTTTCACACTAAAAGTTGACGTACGGACAAATTTAGAAAAGTGCGCCGCACAAAAAAATCAGATGTATAAAACCGTGCGCATGTTCCTGCGCACCTTTCCTTTATACATCCCAATGAACGTGGAACTGAGACACCTCCCCTGACACGCCTCCATTTAAATATGTTAAATAGATGTAAATGTGTCCAGAGTGTGAGATTCTCCTCAGATTGTCCTCTCTGTGGGATCAGAAATGATTTTTAGATGCAGGAAAATTATACATTAAATGGAGAATGAGTGAGAAAACTGTCTAAATAAGTAGTGGAGTGTAAAAATGAGTTTGCCACTCGCAAAGGTGTGTGTGTGTGTGTGTGTGTTAGTGTGTGTGTTAGTGTGTGTGTGTGCTGCTGTCTTCAGCAGAGCGTGAGGCTGAGAGACATTTCCACATTTACACGTTTTTAATGACTGTAAACACAGAGGAACTGATGAGTTTGGTAGAACTTAGAAAAATATTAATTAAATAGTTGAAGTGAAGAAACGAGTCGCAGAGCTGCAAGTTTCTGCCGCGGTGATTTCTATTTTAGAATCATGTGAAGTCTCTCATTCAGCTGCATGGCTCAGCTCAGAACTACAGTACAATACCTGATTGTAATTTGTTTGGTGTGATACTAAAAACAATAAAGATAAAAATAAAAACACACGCTGTCCTCTATTCTTCTTGTGGTGAGATCATCCTGCAGAACAGCTGACATTGATCCATAAATTACGCACAACTTTACACAGCAACAAATCTATTATCTGCATCATGAGGAATCATCACAGCTGAGCTGTTCTGAATTAATCTGATGAGTTGACAAAGTTTTTTTTCTCAGTGAGAATTAAAATGTTTCTTAGAATATTCCCACATTTTATTCTCCTCAGCTGTGTGTGCGCCTCGCAGGCCTGCGCTCTGCGTGTTTCCAGCTACGTGACAAAAATATAAACACTTTACAGTTTACAGTAGACTGGACTGAGGTTCTTTTGATCATTTTTAGGCTGATCTATTTTCTTGTCTGAGGTTAAATGATTTTCAATCCCGGGGTTCAGTTTCATGATCGTTCGAATTTAAACAATAAAACTAAAAAAACAAAATAAAATTATAAAATCTAACAGCGTGTTCAGACGCTCCTTTCATCCAGAAAACAGAACAGTCATTTTTCTGTGGATTCAGGTCAGATTCATGATTTTGTGGGTTAAAACTGTCGACTGTAAAACTTTGCGTGGCTGCCGCACATTTTCACGGCAGGTGAAAAGTGTGCGTAAATATACGTAGACTTTCACGCAACGTTGGTTTTGATGCATCCCAACGTGGGCGTAGAACCTGGTTCACGCAACTTTTAAAGTTTTCTTCAGTTGATCCAAAATGCTGCTGCCAGAGTTTTAAAGAGAGCTGGAAAGAGATCATATTCCTCCAGTTTTAGCTTCTCTCCAGTGGCTCCCTGTCAAATTCAGAATAGAATTTAAAATATTACTCCTAACATACAAAGCTCTTAACAACCAAGCTAAATCATATATTAAACATCTTATTGCTTCATATTTTCCTAACAGAGCACTTCACTCTCAGACTGCAGGTTTACTTTTGGTTCCTGGAGTTTCTAAAAGTAGAATGGGAGGCAGAGCTTTCAGTTATCAAGCTCCTCTCTTGTGGAACTAACTTCCAGTTTCTGTCCGTGAGGCTGACACTCTGTCTACTTTTAAGATTAGACTGAAGACTTTCCTTTTTGATAAATCATGTAGTTAGACTTAAGTTTCCTGAGTTATTTTTTTTAGTTATTATGGTTAATTAGTTCTGCTGCTATAGACTTAGACTGCTGGAGCACAAACTGAGCACATTTCCTCACTCTGCTGTTGTCTTTAGTCTCTCTTCTCTACATGTTTATTTTTATTCCATCAAAAACGTTTTGTCTCTCTTCCAGAGGAAAATACACCTGGACCAGTCCTGTGTTTGTCTCTGTCTCTTTTCTGTCCCCAAACCCAGCCGGGCGAGGCAGATGGTCTCCTGTCCTGAGCCTGGTTCTGCTGGAGGTTTCTTCCTGTTAAAGTGGAGATTTTCCTCTCCGCTGCTGCCGGTGTGCTGCTCAGGATGGGAGACTGTGATGAAGCGAAGATTTGACGCAGTGTGCTGGCTTCTTTAGATTTATTATTATTATTTTTTATTTTGTATACAGTGCCCTGAGACAACAGTTGTTGTGACCTGGCACTATATAAATAAATTGAATTGAATTAATTGAAATATTTCTTACATTATACGCCATATTTTTTTTTCACTCATTACTAAGTCTGAACAGCCAAAACAGCAGACTTTACTTGAATAATGAAGAAATTGACCATAAGCTGACGATCATGCCATCCCCAATCTCAGTTATTCATCACCACGTGTTTCCAAAGACCATGAGGTGTTTCATTTTTTGCCTACACCTTGATCATCACCTGAGCTTGGGATGTTATACTTTTTGCGGAACAGAACTTAGAAAAAAAATTTGTTTTTAGCTGTGTGGTTCTACTACAGTTCTGTATATTCCAGCCTGAAACCGTGTATTTTTTCCCCCATTTAATATTTTATGCTTTGCACAAAGCAACACATTACAAACAGGGTTTTACGCTCCCACAATCTTTATAAAGATGTGCTGCTCTTTAAAACCCACAATTTTCAACTGTGCGACACTGATATTTTAGCGCAACGTCCAACAAACATTTAATCTGGAATAACACAATAACACACAGAACATACCTAGGATGCCGGACAGCCCTAATTAATGTAACAAGTCAGCGAGTCCAACAAACAAGTTACAGGTAAGTTCAACTATCTCAGTCCAGGTCACACAATTAGCTTTCCTCATTACTTTCATTGTAGTAAGAGTAACCTGTTTTTGCCAGTCCCTTACAAGTTTCTCATTCACTCCCAACTTTTTTTCTGCTGCTCTTTTGTTGTCTTGGGCTGCAAATTGTTTTTGAAACCAGTACAGGAACAACATAGTTGTCACAAGCCTAGAGCGCCCTCTCATGGCTGCAGACAGTAAGGTTTACTCCTTAGTTTATGTAAGTCGGTGTAAATTAACATTTAACGCATCGATCAAAAATGTGTCAGGAATTGGAAAAAAAACATATGTCACACACCTAACTAAAAGTCGCGGGGCCAGCCCAACTATAAAACAAAGTGTGACATATAGTCCGGAAAATAGTTATTAGGTTAACTGGCAACACATCAATAAGACAAATGGATATAAAAAGAGCATTATAGAGAGTCTGAATCTCTCGGAAATAATGATGGGCAGAGAGAGGTTCATCAGATCATAGAAACTGTATATGGTCAGCTTACACATCTGGAAAGGAGCCATCAATGAACAAATGTATACACAGGTTTTAGAACAACATCTGCTTCCACCAGGATGGTGTCATGTTCAGAGAAGGCCTTGCATATTTCAACACTAAACCACAAACTGTAACACTGCAACAGAATGGCTTTGTAGTAGAAGAGTCTGTGTGCTAAAATGACCTGCCAGCACTGAAAACATTTTATTCATAATAAAATAAAAGATTTGTTTGAATCATTGCAATTTGATTTTATTAATATTTTACAGAACATTCAAACTTTTTGATAAACAGAGATTTTATTGCAGACGCGAAGTCTGGATGTCGTAAAAACAACAATCAATATTAACAATAATTTAAAAAGTACCAATCATAAACTGTGAAAACGCAAAGCTGTATAAGGCTGTATATGTGTATTTACCTGAAATTGATGAAGCACTTCAATAAAAGGTAAATCTCATCTGAAGCTCTTCTGCTGCTGCATCAGGCCCACATTCTCATAGACTCTGGAGTTTTCCTCCCTTGTCCTGACAAAACACAGCATTTCAGTAAGAAACAACTAGTTTATAAACAAGGAAGTGTATGTGATTTAAATCACAGTTAAAGCAAGCATTTTATCTCATGCCACTCACTCTGTGCAGGAAGGAGTAGGAAGAGGTGTGCAAGGTGGCAAAGGGCTTTGCTCTCCACCAGTCAGGTCAGATAAAGAATACTTAATGTTTGTGTACTCGCGCCCTTTAATCTTACTTTTCTAAAGAGGAGAGAGAGGAACGTGGTTGAAGAACAAAAAAAGCTACATGAAATGAAGACATTCGGCATCTTGTTGCTCACCTGCTCCTCCTCTATGCGTCTTTGCAATGTTTCAATGTAGTGCTGTACAGCCATATAAATAAACCTGTACTGTGCTTCTGTCTGCACCATTCCAGAGCGCTGAGCACGAACCATCTGAATTGTCTTGGGTACATCAATGTCACAGTCCACCCCTGCATCAGGAAATAATGTCAGAGTGTCAATGTCAACTTTATTCTGAACTGTAATTTCCCTTCATGGGATGGAAGGATGGAAGGAAGGATGGATGGATGGATGGATGGATGGATGGATGGATGGATCTATCTATCTATCTATCTATCTATCTATCTATCTATCTATCTATCTATCTATC